TGTAGTGTCTCTACTTTAAAGAGTCCTCTCCTGCTGTTTAGCCAAAACCACCCCACCTTGAGGTGATTTGGGTGAAAATGTTTTTTTTTTCCATATCTCTGGCCCCCCTTGGTCGATTTTGATGGTTGACACCTCTTTCTGACCGTTAGAGCCAATAGAATCGAAGGGGGAGGCCCCCACACACACACGTACGTTGTGAAGAGAAAAGGTGTGGGCTGCGCGCATGTAATTTAGCAGCAGAGTGGACCTAGCTCTAGCTCTGGCATTTGGAAACGAAAAAGCAGTTTTATTGCTTATGGATTATCAGAAATCATTTCAAAGAGGACACAGACACATTGGATGAACCTATGGATTAACTGCAGCATCGTTTTTATTGTTTTAATAATGCCATTGAAGACCAGTTTTGGACCAAGGTAAGCCATGTTAGCGTTTCTAGCTACCTAGCTCCACATGTTATGATGTACGCTTTCGTTTATAGCGTCGCAAATGTTTATCACTGAGTGTTTGAGGTGGGCACCCCCAGATTTAGTGTCTCCAGGAGATGCTAATCGAGGGGTTGGCTGTGCATCTAGGATAAGTAATAAGGGAGTTATTGTGAGTTTAGGTGCAGTGATAGGTTACATACATTTTTTCGCTCGTGGCTAATTCAGAGGCTGAGTGTTTAGCATTGGGTTTTTTTTTTTGGAGAAAAAAACAATTAAAAGATCAGTTAGCTGAGTTTCTTCCCGTTACATGGATATAAAACATTCATAGTTTATTAAATATTAAGATTCCTTAGACGTTGTTCCTGCAAATGGCGCGTTTATCCGCCCGGTACCGGGGGGGCGTGCGTAACAGGTTAATAAAGTTCTGATGAGAAAAACTGTTTTTTACATTTTCTTTATTAGAATTTTTATGATCAAACACAAATAAATACAGAACCTAAAGTTCTACGGGGAGAATACTGTTATTTTACAGCTTTCTTCTAACATTTTCCAATCAAACACGTTCAATAAAATCACAGCACAAATGTTCTGTAGGGAAACAATTACTCTGAAAAACTTAAAATATAAAGATATTTGTAGAATTATACAACCATTAATGAATACAGCATTTCATATTTAAACATCTACTTATAAACAGTATAAACAAAAAGTAAGTTTAATTTTTTAAGATTACTTTGAAACATTCCTCAACTGAAAATAACAGAAATTACAAAATGGCGACATATGTTCACATTTTCCATTTGAAGGAGCAGTGTGCAGGATTTAGTACGTCTAACAATGGTAGGTTCCAACCAATGGATAACTTGTTCACTCACCCCTCTATCCCAAGTTTGTAGGAGAATGTATATTGGCTGCAAAAAACTTGAGGCCCAATCATGTTTCCTCTGTCCATTCTGCGCTACTGTAGACGTGGCAGTGCAACCTCGAGGACAAAAAGACAACAATTAGTAAACCATATGATGAATGTTATTATCAGCAGCTGCCAATAGATCCCCCATCTTGTATGATGGACCTTTGAAGCAGGTTGGAAACTTAAACACACTATTGATTGTAAAAACAGTTCTTGGTAGCATCCCAAGGGAATTGATCGAATGCTAAACCCCTTCCAGAAAAAACAACTTTCTAAAACCTTAGAAACTACAACTAGGGCGCTGGCACGAATGCAATGCTTCAGCTTCCTACCACTTTAAAGCTGTGTGGATGTGGCTCTATGAAGAGTCGTTCATATTTTCTCATTCATTTAATAAGTTTAGAAGGGGGAACATAGTCTAACAGTTAGCTTTTGTTAATGTTACCTCGAGGCAAACTTGTGAGACTTGTTTTCTGAAATCCCTTTCTCTTAAAGTGAATACATTAAACAATGGAGCTTACCCTAAAACTAACCACTGGATTGCTTGTCTAACATGACCTAGTCCATAAATGAGGTAAGGGGTGGGAACAATCAAACGCACCCTCCCAGGCACTGCGTGTTAGCGAAGTACAACTGGGATTTCGAAGAGGAAGATATGCTTGGTCAATTCTTAATAAAAAAGCAAAAGTAACAAATTGAGCACTTGAGTTTTCATTAGCAGCGCCTAGCTACAGCTGCGGAGCTTCGGTCAATACCGCTAACAGTCTATTTCCTTCAAATGGTACATATCGCTGAATCTATATTTTCATCTTCAGTGATTCAATCTGCATAATGTCCCTGTACAATAAGATTCGAGCATTTTGTAATCCAGTGAGGAAATTCAAGACCAGTAAATATTGACTGATTAAACAACACTAAATAAAATGTTAGTGTTTTCTTCAAACTCAGACTCTCTGCTGCGGCTTGTACCTCAAAAGACAAAACAATTCTCTGATGATCTTTGTTGAACAAGGTCTGATTGTCCTGTACATGTACAATGTGGGGTATTTTTAAATACTTTACTAAACCACATTGAATATTATGTTATTTTAGCAGTGATTTGGACCAAGCATGTATGATGTAGTAATACAAAACTATTTTAGTTCACACACTGTGACATTAGCTAGTCATGTTAGCTTGTAATATATAGAGCAGAGCTAACTAGCAAGTTAGCCAAACGTTAGCAGTTAGCCGTTTATGCTATGCTAGCTGTTGGCTACTGAACATTAACAAACTGGATTCCGCTGTAAGAAAGCTGTGAAACTTTACAATAACTTGGCGACAACACTGTGACACCCCGCTGCATGTTTATGTGTAATTCTCCCGTGTTGGAGACGAGAGGGTGGCGCAGCAGCACTGCAATAAGCTGTAAGCTAACGTTAGCAGCCACCTGTTAAGCCCGGTTTCCCGGGCGCAACATCTTGCAAGAAACAGCATCTCAGGGCTTCTTAACATTTAACAACCTATTAATGATGCATACCCACTTAACGGGAAGAAACTCAGCAAACTGACGATATTAACAATTTTTACCTAAACGAAATTCAATTCTAACGCCAAGCTCTAAATCAGCACTTAGCGAAAACGGGCTAACGGGGCTAACGCTACTTTAGCACATAAAGGCGATCTTTTCTACTTCATATTATCTGCACAATCGACATATCATATGAAAGCTGAGATTCCACAGATTCCATATGTATAAGTTTATTCACTGTACGACCAAAACTCAGCTAACTAGAAGAAGAAACGTAACCTTAAATAAAAAATAAAACATTCACAAACTAAGGATTATCTAAATACATGTTTAACTCCATTACAGTCGCAGGACTCACCAGATCTCAAGTCTTCTGTTCTTTGTTGACGTCCCGATGCTCATATTCAACGTGTAGATGTAAAACGATCCCGATATTAATCCATAAACTCCTGCAGCAGAAATACAGACAGCTGTAGCTCCGCAGGAGAGCCGCTCAAACTGACGTGCATGTTTCAAATGTGAACGACAGGCGCGGACAGTTCTCATTGGCAGGTTTTCTTCGATTACGTTCATATTAACCAATCAGGAGTGTTGTGGACTCATTCCAATTCTGCCTGACTTGTCTGCCGTGTTATGGCTGAATTCTATTTCAAGTGCCGTAGCTCTGGCTGTCGGCCAGAATCCGAAAACCATACACATTATACTGCATGTAAGACTAAGGCTTATTACTGTATATTGACCAATGGGAAAAAAAAAACACATAAATAAAACAAGGATAACTGTGACTTATTGTTGAGTAAATAACAGTGTGTGTTTTAAACCTGGGTCCTCCCTGCAGAGATTTCTCCACTTTCTATGATTTTATTTTTTTAAATGATATTGTCAACTGTAGATGTTTACAATATAGTAAGTTAGGAATTTCATGAAAACATATTTATTTACTTTTGTTTCAACATTGGATATTTTGTGTTTGTGGTGGATTCAAACGAATATTGAGAAAATGATTTATGTAAAAAAAATGTACGTTTTTTGTATTTTACACTTTTTTTTACAGTTTTATGTTAACCTTAAAATTACAAAGAAATATCTTAAAGTCTTATAATAGTAATACACTTTTATATTACGAATTTTTATTTTACCTACATCTGCATGTATTTTCTGAAAGTGCAAAAATACTGTAAATATTATATAGTAAATTTACTTTAAAAAAAAAAAATGAAATAAATGTTATTTGTTGTTATTGTCAAAATACTTAAAATAATGTTTTGGGTTGTTAATTTATAGTTCATATCTGTAATTTTACAGGATTTTGCAAGTTTTATTTGAAATGCTTTTATTGATTTAGAAAATAATTGTTTTATTGATTTAAACTGACATGCATCCGCTAAGACTACGTAGCAACGGCAGGATCTGCTTCGATAGAGTTTTTTTATTACAGATTTGAAAACATCGTTGCTTGCTTTAAAAGTAGCACAATTCATGATGTCAAACCTCGGAAAGTATCTAGATACCCCTCCCCTAATGCCAAAGGAACTGTTAACTGAATATGTTTTGCCGTTTGATGGCTGGAACGTTGCGTAAAAAAGGACCGCAGCTCCGTGTTGAGGGTTTCTGCCCCGTTACTTATTCGCTGTTTTCTTGTCCCTCTTCTCTTTTTCTTTTCTTCGCTGGGGACTCATCAGCCATTAATCTGTGCTCTCCAAATATATTACAATTAATATTAAAATCCTCCATGTTGTTCTCAGACGGGAGACAATGGAAAACTAAAGACAAGCAAACAGTTTGAAAAGTATACAGTTCAATCGACCGGACTTCTTTCTGCAGATGTGAGCGTCCTTAACAACGGTCAATAAGTCCTTGACAGCGGTCTGTACTACTGGATTAACAACGTGTCACGTGTTCTGAATTGGCCAATCAGAATTGAGTATTCAACTAAGCCATGTAATAACAGTATGTAGTGTCTCTACTTTAAAGAGTCCTCTCCTGCTGATGTTCAGGTGTATATCAGTATGTATTTAAACCTGTACTTTTATTTCATGAGAAATCAAACTTGAACATTGTGGGGTTTATTTTACAGACTCTTATTTTAGTTTTAGATATATCTGCATCACGTCCTCTCACTGACTCTTTATCTGTCTGTCTTTTTTAGAAACAGATGAGAAGAAAGGAACCAAAACGTTTCAGCTGTGACCAATGTGGGAAAGATTTCACTACATCAAGTAATCTTCAGAGGCATTATCGTATTCACACTGGAGAGAAACTACACAGCTGTGACCAATGTGGGAAAGATTTCACTACATCAGGTAATCTTCAGGTCCATTATCGTATTCACACTGGAGAGAAACCACACAGCTGTGACCAATGTGGGAAAACATTTTCTCAAAAAGGCGGCCTTTCATCCCACCAGCGCATCCACACAGGAGAGAAACCACACAGCTGTGACCAATGTGGGAAAACATTTTCTCAAAAAAGCGGCCTTTCATCCCACCATCGCATCCACACAGGAGAGAAACTACACAGCTGTGACCAATGTGGGAAAACCTTTGCTCAGAAAAGCACCCTTTCAAATCATCAGCTCATCCACACAGGAGAGAAACCACACAGCTGTGACCAATGTGGGAAAACCTTTGCTCAGAAAAGCACCCTTTCAAATCATCAGCTCATCCACACAGGAGAGAAACCACACAGCTGTGACCAATGTGGGAAAACATTTTCTCAAAAAAGCGGCCTTTCATCCCACCATCGCATCCACACAGGAGAGAAACTACACAGCTGTGACCAATGTGGGAAAACCTTTGCTCAGAAAAGCACCCTTTCAAATCATCAGCTCATCCACACAGGAGAGAAACCACACAGCTGTGACCAATGTGGGAAAACCTTTGCTCAGAAAAGCACCCTTTCAAATCATCAGCTCATCCACACAGGAGAGAAACCACACAGCTGTGACCAATGTGGGAAAACATTTTCTCAAAAAAGCATTCTTTCATCCCACCAGCACATTCACACGGGAGAGAAACCACACAGCTGTGAAGAGTGTGGGAAAACATTTTCTGAAAAAGTTACCCTTGAATACCACCAACGCATTCACACAAGAGAGAAACCATACAACTGTGAAGAGTTTGGGAAAACGTTTGCTCAATCAAGTGATCTCTCAGTCCATCATCATATTCACACTGGAGAGAAACGACACAGCTGTGAAGAGTGTGGGAAAACATTTTCTGAAAAAGTTACCCTTGAATACCACCAACGCATTCACACAAGAGAGAAACCATACAACTGTGAAGAGTTTGGGAAAACGTTTGCTCAATCAAGTGATCTCTCAGTCCATCATCATATTCACACAGGAGAGAAACGACACAGCTGTGAAGAGTGTGGGAAAACATTTTCTCAAAAAGTTACCCTTGAATACCACCAACGCATTCACACAGTAGAGAAACCATACAACTGAATAGTGTGGGACAACTTTCTCTACATCAGGTCATCTTAAGATCCATCATCGTATTCACACAAGAAAAACCATACAGCTGTGAAGAGTGTGGGGAAACCTTTTCTCATGGTTGTAATCTTAAAGCCCACCAGCGCACTCACTCTGCCTCCATCTGATCCTTTTCTGAGTCAAGCTAGCATTCCTCCTGCTTTTCTCCAAATGTAAAGCTGACCAACAGTGACTTTACGTTCTAATAAACATGTTTTTTACGGACTACATTCAGACTTCCCCAAAACCCTGCTCTCCTCACACACTTAGCTCTATATGTGAGTGCTCTGGTTAATGAAAATGTTTTTTGATTTGGATAAAGCAGCCTTATACTGTTGCTGCGATGCTGAACGTAACAATGATCTGTCTACCAGCAGCCTGTGAATGAGACGTTTAGGGAACATCTGTAAATAGAAGCATCTCTTGATCTTTTCCGTACATTTCTTAATATAGTCTTTATGTATAATACTTCCTAATCAATTATCTGTTATGTGTGCTGATGCAATTTCAGTGAGCATCGAGTTCAGAATGTTTGTTGCCACACACCGTATTTGCTTCTGTGTGTGACGTTCCCTGAATAGTTTTTATTCTACGTTTATGTTCAATTGAAATGTTTGAGTTGCCTTTTTGGTACTTTTTTATTTATTACTTCAAGTGATGTTCAAAACACTAAGACACGTTTGGTATGAGAAGTGATAAAGTACATTTGTGACGTTCTTGTTTTGTTAGTGAAACTGATATAATATTATCTCATGTTCATTCTTTGACTTCATTGTGACCGCCGTTAGTTTTCTGTGTTCTCAGTAAATGTGATTCTTGCTGCTGTAATAATCTGAGCTGTAAACTTAAAACTTGTTTTCTAGTTTCTCATTAAACTTGTTGACACAAAGAGACTCTTTGACTCATTGGAAACTGTTTAATGATTTATAATTACTTACAATCACTTTGTATTAGGTTTTTATGAATGGTCTTTATTTGAACTGCTGCTAGTAAGAGTAAAAGAGGACAGAAGCCGCGTTCACACCGGAGTACTTTTCACCGTACTTTTCGCGTTTAGTTGCGTTAGTACCCCTTATGTCGCGTTCACACCAAAAAGAGTACTTCATCTCGGGAACTTTTACCCCCATCTTTAGAGCCCGCTGAGAGATCGTACTTTCCTGTGGGAAAAAAGTGCCCCAGTGCTGATTGGCTGGGCGAATTGCAAACCACGCCCCGTACAACTGTGAAATGTTGTGTAGAGCCGCCATTGTTTTTCCTCGCTACAAAAACCCAGCGCACCGACGGAGAGTAGTTTGTTTTTGAAAGCAGTTATGGCAAGCATCAAGAAATCATCGGAGCGGTGGAGTGATGTGAAGGTGTCGGAGCTTCTGGAGATCTACGCCGAGGACGCGACCCAGGGAATGCTACTGAAGCCAGTTCAGTAGCTTTCACTCGACCTGGGGATCGTGCACAGCGCCACGGCATACCGGCTAAAAATAAAGAAACTCAGGCAGGACTACAAACAAATTAAAGACTATTATAACAAGAGTGGTAACGACCGGAAGACCAGTAAATGGTACGAGCGCTTGGATGCTCTGCTAGGCCACAGACCTTTTCTCCCGGACAGCATCGACCGATGGTGTGGGAGGCCGCTCAAACGGCGGATTCAGCGGCCAACGATGACGAAAGCTTTATTTGTCATTTATTTATCATCAATGTTGCAACCTTGTGGAGGAATGGCAGCGGCACATACACACATATGATCATTTATATCATTTTAAATATTATTTGACCTAAAACTAAATGTTTTTATGATTGTCCTCTGAGGAGGACATGGGGATTTGCAAACTTTTCATTCCCCCCCCATTTTACACAACACAAAATGGAGTCCACTATGGGCCGAAACTAACATGTATGTTTCCATAGTGTTTATGGCAGACGGATGCAGTGGGTCTCAGGAAGATATATAAGAAAGGTGGGTTTGCTGCTGAGCCTATTTACTGTGCATACAACACACCTGGCACAGTTTATTGTTATTATATTGCCACACTGTACACTATTGTAATGTTGCCTGTCTTGACTGGAAAATAAAAGAGAAACAAAAGCACTGTACAAAAGATCAGCTTTATTGTCAAAATGTTTACAATTTACACGCTGTTCAGATGCCTCATAAGAGCTGTTCAGATGCCTCATAAGGGCTGTTCAGATGCCTCATAAGGGCTGTTCAGATGCCTCATAAGGGCTGTTCAGATGCCTCATAAGGGCTGTTCAGATGCCTCATGAGAGCTGTTCAGATGCCTCATAAGGACTGTTCAGATGCCTCATGAGGGCTGTTCAGATGCCTCATAAGGGCTGTTCAGATGCCTCATGAGGGCTGTTCAGATGCCTCATAAGGACTGTTCAGATGCCTCATGAGGGCTGTTCAGATGCCTCATGAGAGCTGTTCAGATGCCTCATGAGGGCTGTTCAGATGCCTCATGAGGGCTGTTCAGATGCCTCATAAGAGCTGTTCAGATGCCTCATAAGGGCTGTTCAGATGCCTCATAAGGGCTGTTCAGATGCCTCATGAGGGCTGTTCAGATGACTCATAAGGGCTGTTCAGATGCCTCATAAGGGCTGTTCAGATGCCTCATAAGAGCTGTTCAGATGCCTCATGAGGGCTGTTCAGATGCCTCATAAGGGCTGTTCAGATGCCTCATAAGGGCTGTTCAGATGCCTCATGAGGGCTGTTCAGATGACTCATAAGGGCTGTTCAGATGCCTCATAAGGGCTGTTCAGATGCCTCATAAGGGCTGTTCAGATGCCTCATAAGGGCTGTGGCGTGTCTTGCCCCCCAGCCTCTGCAATGGCTGGCCCATCAAGCTGGGTCTCCGGTAAGGCAGTCCATTCGTCCCTGTACTCATTACTTTCACAAAGGTTATGTAATATGCAACATGCTGCCACCTGGATTTTGATCTTGTAGTCGTTTCTTTTCATCAAGCACCGCCACCTGCCCTTCAGTCTGCCAAAAGCGTTCTCCACCACCACTCGTGCTCGGCTTGTTATTGTACGCAAGTTGCTCAGGCTGCATGAACTCAGTTACAAAGCTGTATAACATGAGCACAAACAGCACAACTTCAGTCGACTCCATCTCCATCATGTCTGACCCTCAGATCACACGTCTGCCCCTCCCCGTGTTGTCGCTATGAGTGCAGTTGCAATTTTAGTGAGCATCCAGTTCAGAAAGGTTCTTACTATTTTTTTGTTGCCCAACATTCAATGAGGCAACATGACTACAGAAGGCCTGTCACTCATGACTCCAAGCCCCTCTCACCGAAGCCCCGCAAACAGCTCCGTGTGTACGTCCGATCATTTCCTGATAACGATGACGCCAGAGCCCTGCCTCTCCCCACCTCTGCTGCTCACCCCCGCGTCACCGCTGATGTGTTTCGCCAACAACAACAACATTGGCGGATCACAGGGTTGCTTTCGTGCTCCAGACGCTACTGACCATGCTACAGATGCAGTGGCGGCTCCAGAGTATTTGTGTTGGGTAATCTCTGGTAGGGCTAACCCATACAGTGGTGGGGCTCAAGTCAGTATTTGCAATGTAATTACATACACGCTCCCCCCGACAGTGAAACGCCACGCGTGAGGTTTAGATTATTTCCCTGTCTCAATCCAAATTGAACTGTATGAAATAAAAAGGCACATTTGTCTTGTAGTAAATAAAAAGGGCGACCTGGATATTTTTTAAAATACTAACATAAAATACACATTCTGGTACTCTCTTGAGAAGATAAATAAATAAATCTATTACTACACATTTAAAAAAATGAATGGCATTTTAGTTTTGTGTGACTTTGTTCTGAAAGCTGAACCTGCTGCTCCTCACAGAGAGAAGAGGGAAGAGGCTGAATTACTTTACATTGTGGATAAGGGTGGATAGCCCCCATTGTTCTGTGTGTCCAAATGAAAGACAGCCCACACACCTATCAATCATCAAACCGTGGGGTCTTATTTCATTACGTGTTGATTTCTATCAACACGTAATGTTGTATCGATGTAGCCAGATGTACTACAGCAAAAGTATTCTCCGTCGGGACTTCCTGTGTGATTCTGATTGGCCAGAAGACATTAGCAAAGATGTTTTATTGACAACGTGACAAAAGTTTTCAAAACCGTTTCTAGTCTTCGGTATTTCCAGACAAGTGGCTACTGACTAAATCTCACTAACTGCTGTCTGTGCAATTTACTCGCCACTGTACAGATGTTAGTGCAAAATCTACAGCTCCTCGACCACAACCATCAGCAACAAGTGGACATGGAGAACTACATGAACTACATGTTGCTCAATCCACCGCGGAGAATAACCAGAAGGGCAACCAGGCAACCATGGCAACCATGCTCGGGAGGTCTTATTCGCTGCTTTTGGTGTATTTTGTGGCGGAAGTACAGCGCCACTTACAGGCCCGGCATATGTACTACAGCGTTTCCAGCGGGTCGAGCGGTCCCGTGTGGACGGAACACTTTTTTGATATCGACTAAGGTTCGTTTTCGTTTTTGTCTCCGTTTCGTCTCCGTGTAAACGGAGCCTTAGGGAACATCTGTAAATAGAAGCATCTGTTGATGGTCTACATACATTTCTTAATATATAATATACTGGCTCACTTTATGCTGCGTTTCCATTACAGTTTAGTAGCTGGGGTAGTAACTATAGTAACGCAGTGTAGGCGGAGCCGTGACGTCATCTTCAATGCGAACTCCAGAAACACAACACAGCCGTTAGCTGTTAGCACTCAGAGCTCACAGCTCCTCATATCTGTTCAGAAACTAGACAAAAGTTAAACAAGTACAAACCACAGACTGTCTGTGTCATGGTGAATACAGTCGCTGCTTTATTTATGTCTGTATAGGCCGTTGTTGTGAGTGTGGACGGTCGGAGCATATACTGCGTTAGCTTAGCCAATCTCCATTTAGAAAACACGCATTTTAAAAGGTGTTTCGCCTGCCGTCTGTCTGCAGACTTGACAAAGCATTAATTCATGGTTTTTACTAACCGGTATCAGTATGTTGTTACTTCATCATTTTGAAACGTGTATTACAATTAAATCACGGTCAGATATGTTCATCTTGTTGTAGTTGTAGCCCCCTTGCCAGCGATTCTCTCTCTAGTTTAGCATACTCAGCCCGACTCAGCCCTGTTTGTTGGCCCCGATAGAACCACAAATTTATGGGGCCAGAAAAACTGTGAAATAGTACCCGCTAGCCGAGTGGAAACACAACCAAAAACTGGCCGTGCACGGCACGGCACGCTTAAAGCGAGCTCCGCGCTGCAGTGGAAATGCGCCATTAAATGTTTTAAATATGAAAGTCCATCCACTTCCATTGAATTGCGGTGAAGGAGGGTCGTTAGATACATATTTACATCTTGTGCTGAATCGTTTTTGATAGTTCCTGTTCCCAGTAAGCAGTCTGTTCTGGTCTTAAAGATTAATCAACCTGACGCAACGTAAATGAGCTGGAGGACTTTAAGGGAACTACACAGAGACATTTGTTTCCCACATGTTTCACAACAGTATGGTTCCTCTCCAGTGTGATTGGCTGGTGGATTTTGGGGTGACTTCCCACCTTCTCAGACAACAGCTACAAGCCTGAAGCCCCCCCCCCCCCCCCCCTCCCCCCCATAAACGACCAATGCGTTGCAAATGAGCAGAACCGGTTCTACTGTCGCTCTGAAGACCAATGATGGGTCCCAACAACTTCCCCCTTTACACCTTCCACCAGCTCCAGTCTCCCCCCCCCCCCATCAGTAGAAAAGAGATTCATTCTTCTTCTGCTCCTTAAAAACAACCTTGGTTAATTACCTGTGCATATATAAATATAATGATGTGCTAAGTTAGTGTTACTGATAATCATTGGGGAGCTAGCCAGGAAGAGTAGCTTGAATTAAATAAATATAAATCATTTTACATTTTGGGAACATGTTTTAATATGTGCTTTCATATTTGTTTATGAAATCTAAAAGTTCAAATATATTATTATTTGCAAATAATTTAAGTTAAAGTGGACCAATCATGCTATATTTAAATGATATATTGTAGGGCCATACCTATATAAGGTATATTTATACGTTTCTGTTTTCAAAATACCAAACAGATCATGATTTTAGCCATGCCTCATTTCGCTCTATGTGCTGTTTGCTGTCTATGGGTCTGATTCTGCTGACCACGCCCCCCTGCAGGAGAGGGGAGACGTGCTCTGATCAGCTGCTGGGCTGTCAGAAGAGGGGGAGAAAAAGAGATCTCCGTCCTCCGTGTTTTATTATATAGAGTCGTTATTCATTTGTTTTAAAGCTCAATAAATAACAAAGAAGACCTTACAGGCCTGGCATATGTACTACAGCGTCTCCAGCGCTTTCGAACGGCAATGGCCGTGGCTGTCTCCTCCTGATTGGTGGAGTTGGCCCAATAGCCGTAGCGCCACCGTCCTGACGTCAGGACAGTGTTCAAATCTGGATCAGTTTTTATCAGATCCGTTGCAGCCCCTTTTTTAGAGATTTGGGTATGGAGGAAAATAGAGAGGGTTGTGTTTTCTGACACTTGGTGAGTTCCCTGGAACACCGGGGACACATATTCATGTAGAAAAGACGTACACAAGTGCATTTTGCATGATAGGTCCCCTTTAAGTTAAATTACTTTAAATCTCTAAAAATCGACTTTACTCAACTATGTCTTTTTTTCGGCAACTTTTTAGAGTCATTGATTATTTAAACTCCAGAGTTTTGGGGGAACTATTATTGGTAGTATTTTTTTATTATTTTACAATTGCTTCTTGACCAAACTGCCCCTTTTTGCTAATTTTGGGCTTTCCTCGTCAGATCTCACTCTTCACTACTTTCCCATGTTTGTGTGTGTGTGTGTGGGGGGGGGGGGGCTACCCTTCTTCTTCTCTGAAGTCAACAACCCCCACTTGTCTTTCAGGTTTTAATGAAGGATAGTTGTGATCAGTGTGTGAACCAAATGACTAAAAGCATATTCAGAGACACAGAGCAAGTTTCCTTTTTTATTGTGAAATTAAACAAAACATGTCAGATACTTTTTTCTATTCGTGAGAAAACTTGCAAAGGTTCAAAAAGTATATACATTTGTAAAAAAAGAAAGAAGATATTTCAGTAAAAAATACACAAAGGTGGTAAATATAGGGTTGAAAGAACAAAACAAAAAGAAAAGCGTACACAATGGAATATGTTTAAAAAAAGTAACTTAAAGGTGGGGTAGGTAATTTTGGAGAAACCAGCTTGAGATCGCTAGAATTTGAAAATACACAGCCGGAAAAAATCTGCCACTTCTTTACAGAGCCCCTCCTCCAACACACACGAACGCGCACATGACCAATGAGGGCACGAGATAAGTTTGTGCACAGATGGAAGGCTGACAGGCAGGTAGGCCATCCAGTTATTTTAGCCGGGCCGGCTCAGATGATTGGTCGTGCTTTTTACAGTACCACGGCTTCTACAGATGATATTATTTTATGGATTGTTTGTCAAAGCACTTCAGATATTCATTGCTATCTGGATGTTAAGAGCATTCCATGGAATATAACAACAAGTGTATCTCGAGCCGGTTTCTCAAACTTACCTATCCCACCAACAAACTTCCCCAGTTCATTACTGACATGAAGACTAATGTTTTTACTATTACAACTTTTCTGAAGTTTGACATTTAATTAATCAAACAAGGCTTAATTTGAGCTAACTTGCAAACATGTCCAGCACAGAAAAGAAAAGAAAAGCACATTTGCTGAAGCCAGAGTTCAGTTTGTTGACACATTAGAGAGGAACAACTGTGGAGAGAAGCTCAGAAAATAACAACTCAGCTCTCAGGTTAGCTTGGCTCTGAAACATATTCAACATGATGGAGTGTGAACGCTCTGGTGGACTTTAAGGGAACTACCATGAGGACATTTGTTCTCACTCGTCACATGTATACTGTTTCTATTACATGACATTACATGTCACTTGTTAGACGCTTTTATCCAAAGCGACTTACTTACTCAATACTGTGGACAACCCCCACAGGAGCAATTTCGGGTGAAGTGTCTCAGGGACACAACGACATGCTGACTGCAGTGGGGTTTGAACCTGTTTGAACCCTGATCCGAACACCAACGCTCAACCCACTGCACCACACGCCTCCCCATTCTATCCAGTGTGAGTGCGTTCATGTTTCTTAAGGTTACCGGATGTTCTGAAATATTTCCCACATTGGTCACATCAGTAGTGTTTCTCTCCAGTGTGAGTGAGACGGTGAGCTCTAAGCCTACTACTCTGAGAAAACATTTTCCCACACAGGTCACAGCTATACGGTTTCTCTCCAGTGTGAACTCTCTGGTGAACTTTTAATTCTCCAGAGGTTTTCAAGGATTTGTCACACAGGTCACAGCTGTATGCTTTATTTCTAGTGTGGATGCGTTGGTGGACTCTAAGTGTATCACTCCGAGGAAATGTTTTCCCACACAGGTCACAGCTGTACGGTTTCTCTCCAGTGTGAACTCTCTGGTGAACTTTTAATTCTCCAGAGGTTTTCATGGATTTCCCACACAGGTCACACCAGTATGGTTTCTCTCCAGTGTGAGTGCGACGGTGATATATTAGGTTATTTAGCACAGAAAAAAGCTTCTCACATTGGTCACAGCTGTAGGGTTTCTCTCCGGTGTGAGAGCGCTCATGTTCCTTAAGGTTACTTGATGATCTGAACAATTTCCCACACGTTTCACACGAGTAGGGTTTCTCTCCAGTGTGAGTGCGCTGGTGGACTTTTAGATCACATTTAAGAGCAAATGTTTTGCCACACAGGTCACAGCTGTATGGTTTCTCTCCAGTATGGATGCGTTGGTGGACTTTAAGCGCACCACTCTGAGAAAACGTTGTACCACACAGGTCACAGCTGTAAGGTTTCTCTCCAGTATGAACTCTCTGATGACGCTTTAAGTCTCCAGATCCTTTGAAGGATTTGTCACACAGGTCACAGCTGTACGGTTTGAGTCCCTCTGTTCCTCTCTGGTTCTAAAGCAACAGACATACAGAGAGAGAGACATTCATTAAGTACATTTTTTGACAATCTTTTGCAACATGTCTTATTGAACAAAAACAAAAGTCATTGAACTATCATTTTCAACTAATCGTTCTCAACCAATGTTATTAAATAACTGTTAAAGAATCACTCAAATGCAGCAGTAAAGGTAAACTTTCTGTCATTATTTCAGTGATTATTTTCTAATTGCAGGAAAACTAATACTACATTTCAGAGTTTAATAAAAAGCTGCAGCCCTAATTTGTAAATCAGCTGTGCTCTGTGTACTTTAATGTGAAAGAGCAATACAATTCAACATTCAATTCCAGATGTTTCGAGGTCATTTTGGCCTCTTCTGAAGGTCAGGATTAAACTGTAGTTCATCCATTGCAACATGCATCACTGCTTTAAAGATCATCTATGTCATCCCTTACAAATGTCTTAAAGAGCAAACAACTAGAGCAGAAAGAAACGCTAACAGGCTGCTTTCAAAAGGCTTTATCTTCTTATGCACAGTATCTACAGTGTAGTTCAAAGGGAAACCATGAAAAGAAAGGTGTAAGGGCTACCCTTCTTCTTCTTCTTCAACCCCCCCTTGTCTTTCAGGGTTTAATGAAGGATAGTTTAACTGTGAAGAAGCTGTGATCAGTGTGTGAACCAAATGACTAAAAGCATATTCAGAGACACAGAACAAGCTTTTGGACAAGTTTCCTTTATTATTAGGAAACAAAACAAAACATGTCAGATAATTTTTTCTACTCGTGGGAAATCTTGCAAAGGTTCAATTGAAAATAAAACAATAAAACAAAATAAAGATTATAGACATTTGTGAAAAAAAAGATATTTCAGTGAAAAATACACAAAAGTGGTAAATATAATGTTGAAAGAGCAAACAAAGAGTATGTATTTAGCACAAAAAAGCCTAGAAGCGTACAAAATGGTTTATGTAACAGTTGAATGTTTTAAAAAAGTAACTTAACCTGTTAAGCACCAAGCCTGTTTTTCAGGTCTCAGGCTCGAAAATGACATTCCCAGAACAAATGACCATATCTTCCCTTCTAAAAGGGTTAAATTAATAATCTTTATTCTCAAAGTAATGATAAACCTGTGAGTTGGATGTAGAAAAGTCAGAATCAATATAGATGTTTTTTATTTTAAAGAAAATTCAGATTGAACATAGTAAAAAACTGTAAATTATATTGTCCGTCCAACAATTATTTTTTACAGATAGTGAAAACCACCCTTGGATGATGGGTTAGTAGACTAAAAGCTTTAGGAATCCAAAGTACAACATATAATAAGTACCCTGTATCAAGATTGATGCAAAACAAGTGACATTTGACCTTTTTAGAGAGATTTAGCAAAAACCACTCCACCTCTGAGGTGATTTGGGTGAACATGTTTTTTTTTCCATATCTCTGGAACCCATTGGTCGATTTTGATGGTTGACACCTCTTTCTGACCGTTAGAGCCAATAGAATCGAAGGGGGAGTCCCCCACACACACTCATTGTGAAAACAAAAGGTGAGGGCTTCGCGCATGCAGGGTCGCATCAGAGTGAAGCGATCTCTCGCTCTGCCGTCTGGAAACTAAAAAGCAGTTTTATTGCTTATGGATTATCAGAAATCATTTCAAAGAGGACACAGACACATAGGATTAACCTATGGATTAACTGCAGCATCGTTTTTTATCGTTTTAATGCCATTGAAGACCAGTTTTGACCAAGGTAAGCCATGTTAGCGTTTCTAGCTACCTAGCTCCACATGTTCTGATGTACACTTTCGTTTATAGCGTCGCAAATGTTTATCACTGAGTGTTGAGGTGGGCACCCCCAGATTCTGTGTCTCCAGACGATGCTAATCGAGGGGTTGGCTGTGCATCTAGGATAAGTAATAAGGGAGTTATGAGTGAGTTTAGGTGCAGTGATAGGTTAGCATTTTTTCGCTCGTGGCTAATTCAGAGGCTGAGTTAGCATTGTGTTTTTTTTTTGGAATTAAAAAAAAAAAATATCAGTTAGCTGAGTTTCTTCCCGTTACATGGATATAAAACATTCATAGTTTATTAAATATTAAGATTCCTTAGACGTTGTTTCCTGCAAATGACGCGTTTATCTGCCCGGTACCGGGGGGGCGGTGCGTAAGAGGTTAAAGATATCACCAATAAACTTCCCCAGTTCATTACTGACATGAAGACAAATGTTTCTACTATTACAACTTTTCTGAGGTTTGACGTTTAATGAATCAAACAAGGCTTAATCTGAGCTAACTTGCAAACATGTCCAGCACAGAAAAAGTAAAACATTTGCTGAAACCAGAGTTCAGTTTGTTGACACATTAGAGAGGAAACTATGGAGAGAAGCTCAGAAAATAACAACTCAGCTCTCAGGTTAGCTTGGCTCTGAAACATATTCAACATGATGGAGTGTGAACGCTCTGGTGGACTTTAAGGGAACTACCATGAGGACATTTGTTCTCATTCATCAAATGTATACTGTTTCTATCCAGTGTGAGTGCGCTCATGTTTCTTAAGGTTACTGGATGTTGTGAACAATTTCCCACACATTTCACACCAGTATGGTTTCTCTCCAGTGTGAGTGAGACGATGAGATTTTAGGCTACTTAGCACAGAAAAAAGCTTCTCACATTGTTCACAGCTGTAGGGTTTCTCTCCAGTGTGCGTGCGTTGGTGGGATTTAAGGGAATCCCTCCGAGAAAACGTTGTACCACACAGGTCACATCTGTACGGTTTCTCTCCAGTATGAACTCTCTGATGAATCTTTAAGTGTCCAGATCCTTTGAAGGATTTGTCACACAGGTCACAGCTGTACGGGTTCTCTCCAGTATGGATGCGTTGGTGGGATTTAAGGGAACCACTCTGAGAAAACGTTTTCCCACACAGGTCACAGCTGTGCGGTTTCTCTCCAGTATGAACTCTCTGATGACGCTTTAAGGTTCCAGATCCTTTGAAGGATTTGTCACACAGGTCACAGCTGTAGGGTTTCTCTCCAGTGTGAGTGCGTACATGTTCCTGAAGGACACTCAATGATCGGAACAATTTCCCACATGTTTCACATGAGTAGGGTTTCTCTCCAGTGTGGATGCGCTGGTGGGCTTTAAGAATACTTGCAACAGCAAACGTTTTCCAACACAGGTCACAGCTGAACGGTTTCTCTCCAGTATGGATGCATTGGTGTTCTTTAAGAGTTCTTTTAACAGCAAACGTTTTCCCACACAGGTCACAGCTGAACGGTTTCTCTCCAGTATGGATGCGTTGATGGACTTTTAAGTGAGTACCTGTAGGAAACCTATTCCCACACAGCTCACAGCTGAACGGTTTCTCTCCAGTATGAACTCTCTGATGAACCTTTAAGTTCCCAGAGGACTTGAAGGATTTGTCACACAGGTCGCAGCTGTACGGGTTCTCTCCAGTATGGATGCGTTGGTGGGATGTAAGGGAATCACTCCGAGAAAACGTTGTACCACACAGGTCACACCTGTACGGTTTCTCTCCAGTATGAACTCTCTGATGAATCTTTAAGTCTTGAGCTCCTTTGAAGGATTTGTCACACAGGTCACAGCTGTAGGGTTTCTCTCCAGTATGGATGCGTTGGTGGGATTTAAGGGAACCACTCCGAGAAAACGTTGTACCACACAGGTCACATCTGTACGGTTTCTCTCCAGTATGAACTCTCTGATGACGCTTTACGTCTCCAGATCCTTTGAAGGATTTGTCACACAGGTCACAGCTGTGAAGTTTGAGTCCCTCTGTTCCTCTCTGGTTCTAAAGCAACAGACATACAGAGAGAGAGACATTCATTAAGTACATTTTTTGACAATTTTTTGCAACATGTCTTATTGAACAAAAACAAAAGTCATTGAACTATCATTTTCAACTAATCGTTCTCAACCAATGTTATTAAATAACTGTTAAAGAATCACTCAAATGCAGCAGTAAAGGTAAACTTTCTGTCATTATTTTCTAATTGCAGGAAAACTAATACGACATTTCAGAGTTTAACCTGTTACGCACGGCCCCCCCGGTACCGGGCGGATAAACGCGTAATTTGCAGGAAACAACGTCTAAGGAATCTTAATATTTAATAAACTATGAATGTTTTATATCCATGTAACGGGAAGAAACTCATCTAACTGATCTTTTTTTTTAAAAAATCCAAAAAAAAACCAATGCTAACACTCAGCCTCTGAATTAGCCACGAGCGAAAAAATGTAACCTAAAACGGCAATTAAACTCACAATAACTCCCTTATTACTTATCCTAGATGCACAGCCAAACCCTCGTTTTGCATCTCCTGGAGACACAGAATCTGGGGGTGCCCACCTCAACACTCAGTGATAAACATTTGCGACGCTATAAACGAAAGCGTACATCAAAACATGTGGAGCTAAGTAGCTACAAACGCTAACATGGCTTACCTTGGTCAAAACTGGTCTTCAATGGCATTCAAACGATAAAAACGATGCTGCAGTTAATCCATAGGTTAATCCTATGTGTCTGTGTCCTCTTTGAAATTATTTCTGATAATCCATAAGCAATAAAACTGCTTTTTAGTTTCCAAATGCCAGAGCTAGAGATCGGTCCACTCTGCTGCACATTTACATGCGCGCAGCCCCCACCTTTTCTCTTCGCAACGTGTGTGTGTGGGAGCCTCCCCCTTCGATTCTATTGGCTCTAACGGTCAGAAATAGGTGTCAACCATCAAAATCGACCAAGGGGGGCCAGAGATATGGAAAAAAAAACATTTTCACCCAAATCACCTCAGAGGTGGGGTGGTTTTGGCTAAACCTCTCTAAAAAGGTCAAATGTCACTTGTTTTGCATCAATCTTGATACAGGGTACTTATATGTTGTACTTTGGATTCCTAAAGCGTTTAGTCTACTAACCCATCATCCAAGGGTAGTTTTCACTATAAGTAAAAAAGAATTTTTGGACGGACACTATAATTTACAGTTTTTTACTATGTAAAATCTGAATT